AAGTAATTGTGCAAACAATCATTTTAGAATTTGAAGTAAATATGCAATTTTATGCTTAATTATATAACAATAACGTCTATATCCGTGACTTAACAAGGCGTTGTGTCAAATTAACGTAGTATGTCTCTAACTTTATCGGCTAGCGCGTCTATTTGCGCTAACGTACCAAGACGTTGTGTCATTTCTTAACTGTCCTTTTCTTCAATTTTGGATACATCCCGACACAACGTCTGTTTCCGTATCACGTACTAAGAAGTACTGTCAAATCTACAATATGAGTAGTAATTCTATACGACAATACGCTTATTTACGGTGACGTACCCAGGCGTTGTGTCAAAACTGTACAGCAATCATGTAAAACTGTACAACAGTACGCCTATTTACGTGTCACGTACTTAGGCGTTGTATCAAATCTACTATAAAGGCATGTGCTACTACACGGCAGTACGCCTATTTACGCTCACGTGTCAAGGCGTAGTGTCAATTTTGAAATACAGGCTTGTGATACTACACGGCAGTACGCCTATTTACGGTCACGTCCCAAGGCGTAGTGTCATATTATCGTAGTGTCTGATGTAGTCATAATAGCAGTACGTCTACGTACAGAGATGTACTGCCATGTCAGCAGTTACAGTATCTTTATCTACGAGACACAACGTTTAGAGACGTGGATTAAATTTGTATGGAAAAAAGTAGTGTCATATTTTGGTACTTGAGCCAGTCAATAGTGTCCTTGAAAGTGTTAAACATAGTATGTAATAATTATATTTCGTAATTAAGAATAAATATAAAATGTTATTAACTGAAACTCCAAGAAATAATACTTAATCTTTAGGTTACCTATGCCACCGTAATGAGACCATACACTATAGAATGTTACAGATACGTACATATAAAAATAAAGTAAATTGTACGCTTGTCTAGGAATATAAAATCACAATTATTTGGTATAACATCATCATATCAAGAGAACTTACTTACTTATCAAACAATTTATAAAAATCTTTCAAAAAACTTAATAAAATAAAAAATATAAACAGCTTATCACTACCTTCCAGATCATCATCATAATAATCTTAATTGTATGCTCATCTAAGTATATGAGATCACAAGTGGTTTGGTATTATACCTTTACTATAAACAAAAACTTACATTAAACTTTTTAAAAAACTCATTATAAAAACCAGCTGGTTTTTTAATAATTTTAATCGTATGAATATAAGATCACACCAGCCCCCCGACTCACAACCCGTCGGAAACGGAATCAGATTCGTATGTGCTTTGTCTTTGTCTATTCTACAGTGAGTGACAAACAGGGCATACGTTCCGCTGTCGGAAGCGTTTCCGATGGTTCGTGAATCAGGGGGCTGGTTTGGTATAAGGTATACCTAACTATAAACAAAAACTTAAAATCTTGAAAATAAAAACTTAACTATAAAAAACCCCTGATGGGTTCTGAAGATAGCGATTAGCTGGTTTTTTTTATAATTGTAATTGTATGCTCATCTGAGAATATGGGATAACCCATGGTTTGGTATACCATAACTATAAACAAAAACTTACATTAAACTATAGAAAAAAAACCTAGTTATATAAAACCAGCTAATCGCTATCTTCAGAGACCATCAAATCTCGTATGCTCATCTGAGAATATGGGATAACCCATGGTTTGGTATACCATAACTATAAACAAAAACTTACATTAAACTATGGAAAAAAAACCCAGTTATATAAAACCAGCTAATCGCTATCTTCAGAGACCATCAAATCTCGAAGAATTTCATTGTCATTCTTATAATATCTAGATCTTCTAATGCCACTTGGGCCAGGATTTGGGTGTGAAGAGTTGTTATTTTCATAATCTCTGGCTTTAATGGAACGACTAGTACTAGGTTTATTTAATTCTTTCATCAGACAAAATGTTTATTCTTTTTCCTTCAGCAACTTTTTTCTTGGTAAGTGGTTTGTGAACTTCAAATTGTATTACTTCTTTTTGCGGTGTACTGGTAAGTTTATCATCGGAAATGTATTTCTCAGCAATTGGAATGTTGTTATTTGTTACTTCTGAAAATGGTTCATCACAATGTTTTATAATTAGTTCTTCTTCCTGTTTCTTATTTAAAAATGAATTTGTTACTGAATGGATTATAATTTCTTCTGTTACAAATAAATCATCTTCTAGTATAACAGGCATCATCTTATCAATGTCAATTGGATCAAAATTTAAATGTTCTTGTTCGTTTGATATGTTTGTCTCTTCTATTACCTTTTCTATTATTTCTTTTAGTGGTTTAGTTTTTTTTTCAATACCTTTCCCTTTAGTATTTAGACTTGTTCCTTGTATTAGTTATTAGGTTTTCTTTTTCGTGTGTTGGGTTTTTATTTGGAATCTGGTGTCTTTTAGTTTTTTTTTATGGTTGGTTTGGTTCAATGTCGGTCTCTATGTAGTCACTGTCCTCTATTCTTTTTCCGTGAATGACGTTAATTTTTTTCATTTTGTTAGTAGTTTTCGTACTTTGCGATCCATATCGCATTTCTTTTAAAAATGACAAAACTGATTCATCAATTGCTTCTTTTTCTTCCGTACTAAACTCGTATCTTGTTTGATTTCCTGGCAATCTATTAAGTACTTTTTCTTTATTTAGGGGACTTATTCCTGCTTTCATGAATCCGGCTAAAATATTCTGTTTTATATTGGGTTCTATTTTTTCTCACATCTTCTTAAGTAATTTAGGAAAAATATTCTTTGGTATTGTGGGCAGTACGCACCCTTTTGTTTTTTTCCACGTGAATAAGATATTACGCCACGCAATTTTCATAGGTCTAAAAAAGGCGACGTCCAATGGCTGTGTCAAGTGTGTCGAGTTTGGTGGAAAAAATATAAAGTAGACATCTTGTTCTTGACATTTTATTATGATGTCTAATGACAGGTGTGAAGAGAGGTTGTCACCTATTAATATTTTTTTTTCCAGTTTTATTGTTAAAGTATGGAAAGGCCACGGTTTCCACCCAATCCTCAAACGTATTACCATCAAACCAGCCTGAGGAAGTGCGGTTATAACGACAATTAGGGGGGCCATTTGTTGTCCAGGTATTATACAGATGTGTGGCTTTGTACACGACGTAGCAAGGCAACAGTGTACCATCAGCAGATGCAGCCAACATAAGTGACGCCGATGACTTCGTGTGGTTCATTACTCTTTCAGGGTATTTGACGCCTCTTTTAGTTAAGACTTTCTTTTTTCCTGGATCGTTAAGTTAGACTCATTGTAATTTACAATGTTACTTAACGGTACGGAATTTTGAATCTTCTATGGTTAAGGGTGATACTGCAGCCCTAGATCTTTTGATGTTCTGGCTTATTCTTAAGGAAATTTCATGGTGGTGACGTTTTAAAAAACTGTCAATATAATTCACACCAGGTAGGTTATTAGTGATTTTTTTTATTTCTATGCCAATTCGATCTAAATATCCTTTTATTATTATGTGTAAATCATAAGTATCAAGTGGATACCCCCACTCGGAGCAAATATTAATATATTTTATTATATATTTTTCTGCTTCTTCGTTAAGGCATTTTTGTCCACCTTGAGTTTTAATTTTTCTTGTTACATGTCTGTGCAAAACTGACTTACTTATATTAAATTGCTTAGCTGTTTCAACTATTGACTTATTCCCAGTTTCATAGGCTTCTATAGCACTTTTTAATATTAAGGGATCGTATCTTTTATACGGCTTTGAACTTTTTGATATGTATACGCGAGGCATATCTGAACTTGGTTAATGTACGTACCTTTAATATATTTGCAACACAATAAAATAAAACTGCATAATTAATAAAAAAAAAGTTCTACACAAAAACATCATGAATAAACCAAATTTTTTTTTTATATTCATACTTTAGTCATTCCTATTTAACATATTCTCATCCCCATTGACCTCTCTTTCGTTTTTATTAATACCTGAGACGTCCCCATTCACCCCTAAAACAACAGATTTTACACGCATTTCTAAATTATCAAAAAACATTAAGATCCAATAAAAACTGAGACTTACCTGTAATAATATGTAGGCCCAAACACTAAATAACGTTTTGAAATCACAGCCGTCGTCTATTATTAACAGATAAATTTAAGAGAACAAAGTTTCTCAGACAGAAAATAACTACCACCACAACAGGCTTTCAAATGGGATTTTTGACCGTTTGCACCTAATGTAATGTATATTTAGCCATGAGAACTTTCAATATTCTACTATTACACTACAAAAATGGAAGAATTTGTAACGAATTTAGTAGTAATATTAAGGTCGAAATATTTTCCTGGTTTTATCCCTATTCACCTCTCAATCCCTATTCACCCCATTTTACGGTATATAATACGGTTTATATTGGACTTCAGGTAGATAGTACAACGGCAAAATTAAATTGAGATTATTATTACGTAAGCATTAGCCAAATTGGTCTGCTGACCGCGACTCAGGTCGATATATGGGAATGAAAATATTAATTTGATCGTGAAAACTAAATTATGTATGTGTTTAGTTTGATTTATATTTATTATGCGTTCTCTTTTTTGAACATTAAATTAAAAAAAAAAGAAATATTGCCCTATATCATAAATTGGCCATCTCGGAACATAGCCATCGTTGAAATGACGTCCCATTGCGAAACTAAGAAACCTCCAATTTCTTAGAGTATCTCTTAAAACCATTGCTGCACTATCTTTACCGCAAGACGACAATGCATCATTTGCTCGTAAGATCGTTAAGATACCCTCTAAGCTGTGTCGGTGTTTTCAAATATTATCAGTAATTGAATAATGAAGTCGATACCTAAAATAAATAAACCTTATGTCAAGCCCCACTAGGAACTGAAACAGTTTGCTTGCGTACACAAAACATGTAACATCGCACATCATCTTCAACTAATGTAAAATATTGTTGAGCAGTGATGTCATGTTGAAGCATCAATAAAACTACATGTTATCACACTACTTGACAGTAACCGTGCGGTATTTGTAACGATAGCGGTCTTCAAACGACGTGTTCATAATGTTGGTGTTTACCCTAATATTCTTTTGTGCTATTTTATACTATATACGTTTTCGGCGCATGCGAAAACCTTTATATGAAATTTCAGAAGTCCTACCTTCTGTCGGAGATTTGCCAGTTTTGGGTCATACACATTGGTTTATAGGCGGTCCCGAAAGTAAGAAAGTTTCTGTGTATTTCGGTATTATATATATGTTATCGTTATAAATTTTCTTTGTATCACGTTGTATAATTGTCACGGTGTAAAATTTTCAGAGCTGTTAAGTAACATAAAACAGTTGGCCAATCTCGTTGATTCGTCTGGTGGTCAAGCGCAAATTTGGATTGGTCCCTTACTTTATTATGGTAAGTCCTCTTGGATTATATATATGGTTAATTAAAGTAAGTATTTTTTAAATTTCTGAGATAGTAAAAGAACGTAACTTCCAAATTTAATTACAATATTTGCGAATGAATAAAATCATAAAAAATTGAGACATTTAGTATCCCGGATACAGACTGAAACTGATGACCCTTTTTACTGTTTGTTAATTAAGTTCAGAAACAAATATTTTGGTATTGAGCAAAATAAATTATAAATCTATTTTAATTATAATTTAATAAATATATTTTTAAAATGTTTAATATAAATACACAAATTTTAATATTAATAAATATCACATACGTTGCTCAGATTCGAAGATAAGTTGATTAATTTAACATTTGTAGTATGAAGTATCTGAAACGACAAAGGTATCACATCACCCAAGCCAATACAGCAAAAGTTCATTTTTGAAACAGAAATATTTTTAAAAATGCTAGCTATTAGAAATTTTAGTTGTAAGTACACTGGCCTTCTAAATATTTTTAATACCTCATAGGCGAGTGTAGATCGCACGCTGGTTTCAAAGCGTCTTCATCTCTGAGGTCCTGGATTTGATTCTCTGTCCGGTCACTATAGAAATTATTACTTTTTTGTCTCATATCCGGGTATTGTGATATCTTCGTTATTTCAAATACATGGAATAATAAGCTTTAGCTATTTATTTTGAAATTTGAACAATAATTATATATAATGTAAAAATTTTGGATATTAATTTAGCACTGTAAGTAAATTAACTTGAATTATTTCTGATTCGATCTTTACAGTAACTTTAAATCCAGACGACGTTCAGAAGATATTGGAAAATTGTTTGGAGAAAGATGTTTCATACAAATTTTTGCAAACTTGGCTGGGAGACGGTTTATTTGTTGCTCCAGGTTTGTAAATAATATAAATTATCTTAACTTTTACCTGTGCTATTTTGAAAGAATTAGAACTAAAAGTCAACAAATTGCTGCAAACATTCCACTACATTATAAAAATAAACTATTTTTAAAATGATTTTAATCGTAAACCTTTATGAGTGTAGGTAATGAAACTGACATTTACTCGTAACTTTTATTTACTTACGGTGTTGATAGATAGAATAACGTGAATAAGTAATTGATACATACGCTTAACACCACAACGGCGAACACGTTTACGTAACATGTTGTTAGTAAACTAAATTAGAACTGTAAGTATTTGTCAAATAACGATCTATAAAATTACACTTTAGCATTTGCCTATAACCTTGTGGAAGAGGTTTTCCCCTTGGATAGAATAGAAAGATAGAGGGAGAATGAACTATAACCCACTACGCGAGTGCAAGTTGGTGGATGTTTACGAGCACGAAACACTGCGGAGCTTGAGGTTACAAAAATTTGGTCACCCCTCCAATGAAAGTTGCTTAACCCCCACAGTCGCATACCAAATGCGCTAACCATTTACTTTTTAAAAGAGGAAGCAAAGGTCCCTGACACATGTGTCTGCATACCATGGTATGAAAAAGGCTAAAACGCCTTCCATTGATGTGTGCTGTGTCAAAATGTATCGAGTATGTGATTTTATCAAACATTCAGAACAAACTTTAAAGTAGTTAAAATAAATATATTGAAGCCAATTGATCGCTTTTGATTTGAAATAGTTTTATAATAATAACGTGCTACAAATATTGGCCAAGCTACCAGTATTCTTAGAGAATATCAGACTCTTAAAATAATAAACTCTGTTTAAAAATAAATAATTAGCTGATTTTTTTGATAAGATAAACAAAGTTGTCTTATTTTTACCCGACTACGGCGAAGCGAAAAGGAGGGTTATGATTTTGACCGGTATGTATGTATGTAAGAACGTTTATCTGTTTCCTTATAACTTCGAAACTACTCATCGTAACTGGACAAATGAAGTATAAATAGAAACATCTTAGTTGTCGGCATGCTATAGGCTATGTGACGTCACATCAAATTGGCAACAACGCCCTCTAGAGAGCACAAAGTAAGAAACTAAAAAAAAAATCAATCATTCCGTGTAGTTTATCAAATGAAATGAAAGCACATTTTAAATATATATATATTAATGTTGTTGTTTATTATAATAGCTTGTTTGTTCACGATCAGTGGCATACGACTATGTTATCCTTTGTTCACGCTATTATAATATAGCAATCGCTATAAAATAAATTTCTCATTTAGTTGAAATAGCTGGGATAAGGTAAAAATACTTATAATCTTTCTAAGGTGCATGGCAGCAATCCCATTTTTAGCAATCATTCTGGGTTAATAACCATGAAAGTTTAAAACAGCATAATATTTTCTTTGTCTTGTCATAATGGTGCTTATATTTTTTGCAGTGGATTTGTGGAAAGTCCATCGAAAAGTACTGCTGCCGATATTTCACAACAGAATAATCGAAGAGTTCTTACCAACATTTGGTGAGCAGGCTGCAGTACTAGTGAAACTGCTTGAAGAGCAAGCTGGCAAACCAGAATTTGATATCTACAAGTACATCACATCCTGTATGCTTGATATTGTTTTCGGTAAGTTCAGGCCTTCGATACTTACATATACGGGATAGTGTTTTTATTTATCGTTCAACTTTGCGTCAGACATAACATAAGGATTCTGATTGTTTTTATGTGGAAATAGTTGGAAGACCGGAAACAGATATTATATGCTGAAAAAAATACAATACTATGCATTGATTAATTCATTCATATGACAGTCTTTGTATAAAAAGAAAAAAATCGATTAATTTCAGAAACAGCTATAGGTGAGAAAATGGATGTACAACATAACCCAGATACGCCGTACTTGCGCGCGCGCAGCTGTGTTATGTCCATAATCAGTATGCGATTGTTTAAAGCCTGGCTACAGCCAGATGTCCTTTTCAATCTTACGCAATATGCAAAAATACAGAGGGAAAACATAGATTTTACTCACAAATTCACTGACGAGGTAAGATATTTAAGTAAATTAATAATTAATCTATAAATAAATAAATACTTACTGTAATTTAATTAATGTTACCATTGACATTTACGGCATTATTAACTTACTTAACTGTTTGCAAGCTTTACCCATTTTTTAAAATTCTCTATTCTTCTATTGAAAATCACGAACAGCTAAGATAAACAAAAGAAGAAAAAGAAAACGAAATAAATAAAAGAAGACTTACTATATAAAAAAATATTCCTGTATCAGCTACTAAGTGGTGGGTTTATTCATTCGATTGAATTCCTAGGCTAATGTATAAACTGACTATTTACAGGTTATAAAGAAAAAGAAAGAACAACATAAAAAGGGGGAATTACTAAAGGAAGGTAAGCTTATAACTGACCTGTTTCTTAACAATAAATTATTTGGATCAAAAAGTTGAACGTTACTTATTACACGTCAACTTCGCATGCAATGTATTAGACACTTTAAGGTGAAGCTCGCAAAGTACCCCCACACACACCATATTTTAAAATAAAAAAGCCTGAGTCTGCGCTTTATTAAGCCGGATATTTCGGTCTAAAAGCAGGACTTAGGCGAGGTTGTACAATATTACTACTTTTTAAACCAATTTAATTCTAAGGCTATGCTAATATTTGCCAAATATAAATCATTTTATAAATATTAAACATATGATCGATTGCTTGCTAAAAACAGAAACTTCAAATCAAATCAAAAATGTTTATTCTTCAGCTTAGTTTACAATTTACATTATATCATGAAGTACCCTTTTAAGTATTTATCATACCTGTTTCAGGAGACCTCGCTCTTCCTTTTTAGATTACATAGGTAGCTAAACTTTACTTTAACTTTACAATATTCTTAAACTTAAATTTCAATAATTGGCTCCATAAAAAATCGCAAACATGACTCTTAATAGATTTTTTGGATCGATTTTATGACTAGTATATTTCATCTTAACTATACAAAAATAGATTTTGATATACGAGTATTATTTTTTATATCTTTTAAATAGGCAATTTTACGATTATTATAAAGTATAATTAATCAATCTTTTTCAGGTAAAAAAGATCTACTAGAGCTGTTATTGAATAGGGACTTTAATTTCACCAATGAGCAACTCCGTGAGCACATAGATTCCATCACCATAGCTGGCAACGACACCACCGCACTTGTAATCGCATACGCTCTTCTACTTTTAGGCAGTCATGATGATGCTCAGGATAAAGTTGTGGAAGAGTAAGTTCATTGACCGTATATTGAATATTGTTCTTTATGTATTATGATAACCTTTGTGGGAGAGTGAATATATAACAATATATATATTCACTTTACATACTAAGCAAAACAAGACAGCAATTAAAAAATTTAATTATGTATTACAGGTTAAAATCTATCTTTGGAGAGTCGGATAGAATACCTACTAAAGAAGACCTAAGTAAAATGGACTATTTAGAAAGAGTTATAAAAGAAACCATGCGCCTTTACACAGTTGTCCCAATAATTGGAAGAAAAACTCAAAAGGAACTCAAACTGAGTAAGAACACATTTCAAATAGCCAATTTTTTGTCTTGTAGTTTTTGTTACATAACTGCCCAAAAAAGAAGTGTATTGTGTTTATAATTAATTATGTAACTATGTGAGTTTCTTTATTTCACCATAACTTTTGAAAGATTAATGGATGAATGGACGGACCCCCGACAGCAATAAGAATTCTATTTGTATACCGAATACTTAAAAAAAATATTATAACAAATAATAAAACATATTGGATTCTACTTCATCATCATCATCATCATCATCTGTATATTAATGTCCCCACTACTATGGTTGTTCCCTATAGATGGCCATAACTTACCAAGCGGCTCACCAATGTAGGTTGGTGGGGATTATCGACTACAGATGCAACCGCGACCAATGGCCTAACGTGCCTTCAATAGCACGGTGAAGTAGACATAATACACTTTGGTCACCCATCCAATGGCCGGACATTGCGAAAGTTGTTTAAAATTCACATCACTGTCTGAACCCGCTAACCACTGCGCCATCGACCTTCACAAACCAACTTCTAATAGTTACAAATAGCTTTAAATATTATTTTGTAACTTGATTATATCATCTTATAATTAAATAAAGTTGGTAATACGTGGAATTTCATAAAAACAAATATTTTTGTTAATACTAATAGTAAAGTCTGATGAAGAGACTTAAAAAATATTATATTAGCGTCATTTGTATTTTCAAACTCCGTAACATCTCGATACAATTCTTATTACTTTGTTCACTGAATGTTGACACAGGCGGACATAGTAGATACTACAAAAACAGAGCCCTCGAAGTTAAACCATGCATACTTTTAGTACCTGAGGCGTTCATTGTGTTTAACCATATTTAACTGACATTATATGAATTATTTGTAAGCCACTTATTTCAAAAGACACTCATGTTTTCCTTGACTCTAATAACAACATTAATAGATAAACGATTTGTTTATGAAAATGTCAGTAGATATTTCACTTATTATATTTTACAACTTAATATAATTATATCATAACCAATCGTAAGAACCCCCCCCTATATCTTTTGAGTTTTATTATTCAGGTATGGGCTGTCTTACGTATATTTTAATCCCACAAAACAAGACGAGTGGTTTTAAGATACGATATTCAAAATTGATTAAAATATAAAATGTTCTTATGCCATCTTAGATATATCCTCTGCAATATTGTATGTACATATACGTAACTGTCTAATTTTTGTTCAGAAAATTTCACATTGCCAGCGGGTGTCGGATGTGCAGTGGCAACGTTCGTGATGCATCGCTCTAAAAACCTGTGGGGTCCTGATGCGGACAGTTTTGATCCCGACCGGTTTCTGCCCGAGAACAGCGTTAATAGGCACCCTTGTGCCTTCATACCCTTCAGTTTCGGTTCCAGGAACTGCATTGGTATAATTACTTATATGCTTATTAACTTAAAAATTATTATAAAAAGTTTAAGTTTTTAATTTTGTTTGTATAGGTAATCTTCGGAAATACTAATTCGATCATGAAAATTTCAGTTATAAAAAAAATTACTAATAATATTTTTAGATTTGATTATTTATTTGCATTAAGTAGGCTCTGAAACTGCTGAATCGATTTTAAATTATTTTTTTGGGTTGCTACGTCATACGTGGGTAAAATAGCCTATTTAAGCGGGGGAAGATGCGGCTAAGTAGCTAGTTGTATAAAGATCTATAACTAATTATTTTTCTTTATTAACAGGTCGACATTTTGGAATGATGGTAATGAAGAGCGTCCTCGCCACGATCCTTCGTTCGTACAAGATCAAATCAAAAACAATAAACCGACTAAAGATTGAAATTTTATTATTCCCGGTACCCGGTCATATGGTTTCAATAGAAAAACGAAACCCATGACGCCATCAATTTGTAGATAGATAACTATTAATAGGGAAATTAAATGACATCTCATTGTTAGTATACATTATTTGTGATTGAAAATAACAATAAACATTAGTTAAATCAAACACATTGAAATTGTCGTTTTCAGTTATGCTCGATATTTTTTATGATTTTTATAGCATTTTTACTTATACATATAAAAGTATACATTTGATTTGTCAAGACATAACAATACACATATACTATTTAAATTATACGCTTCAGCTATATTCTTCAAGCTTCGGCAATCCTAATGTATTTTAAAGATATCTATATAGAGTTGTATTACATAATAAATTAAGATAAATCGAATTAAGATAAATCGGTTGTACTAACTAAATAAGTTTCTGACACCAGTAAGTAGAACAGTTTTTTTAATAAAACAAAATTCATCAATTAATACAAATTTATCAATTAATCACAATTTGATATCACTTCTATTTACCCGACATTCTATATCTATCCATTCCACAATACCTTGAAAATTATGTAGGAATAAATTAAGTACCTATATTTAAATAAGTTAATTTGGCGTATTACAGGTCCATACAATTCTTAAAACTGAAATATTGGGGCTTCTTCCATCACAGTCGAGGTACTGACGAGTTTTGGCGGCTCAAACGACGATCACAAATTGGTTTCTTGATCGGTTAAATTCGTAAACACGAAATATACCGAGGCACATCATTTAAATAGTATATGTGTACATGATATTAAAAGAGTAGGATTGATGCTAAAAATATATTGACTCCACTGACAATCGAGCCATGTGAGCCGTGACTCCCTTTCCATAGGTTTCGTTCACTGAAATTATAAGTCATATTATTATTATATAGATAAATCGTTCTTTGATTGGCGTGTGACTGCCTTTAAAATTAAATGTATCAGTGTAAATAAGATTATACAATTGGTACTGTGTTTTATTTATTTCAATGTCATAAAATAATTAATATCCACTGCTCAAAACATTATGTTACATTTATAGTTTACACAATATGCACTTAGAATTTGGTTTGTGTATGAATAATAATAATATTTAATAATAATAATTACCTATATATAGTAATAATACGTTTGTTATGTTGTCAAAAATGTACATGCAACAGCACAGAATTTGGAACTTAAATTTTGCTGTAGCCAGATTGTACTTGTATTAGGAAATCTGAAACAACGAAGGGTCCTTAACACCCAGACCCAAGACAATACGGAAAAGCATTTTCATAATCACTGAATGACTGAATTTGACATTTGAAAGATACGAACTTCTTCTTCTTCTTCTTTTATTGATGGCTTATCTGCGCGTTTCGCACAATTCCGCCAATTTCACGTGGATAGCCACTACACGATAGGGATTCTATACATAATTAATTTGGAAAAGAGATTCTAATATTTCAATAAATAATTATACACTTTCTATGCCGATAACGAACCTGAAACAAAACACATTTTATCGCATGCATCACGTTACACAACACAACACATATACAGGCATAACATTTTAGTAAGGGGGAAATAAGGAATGGTTCATTATAATTTTAACTTATTACTTTTGATAAATTTAATTAGTGTTTTTAAACAGGGTGTATTAACCAGTTGAAGCACATTTTTAATATTAATGGGGCGAGGAACTTCTTGTGGGAGTACATCATACAGGGAGTACAAAAGTTTGGGGCAGTCAAATAGTGTGTGTTCTACAGATCCCTCATCTAGGCCGCACTCACAAAGGGGATTATCCTTAACATTAATTTTAGCCAAATGAACTGGTAAGCTTGCGTGATCAATGCGGAGACGGCATAACACTGATACAACCTGTTTGGGAGTATGTTTCTATTTTATGTACCAAGGTTTTGTTGGAATAGTTGGTTGGATGTCAAAGTAGTACTTTCCACTCTTATTTTTAGTGTTTGTCCAATGCGTCTCCCATGATTGCGATAGATGGGAATGAAGGAGAGGGATGAAATCGTTATATGTAAGTTCGGAATAACTAGTACAACCAGTGGAGATTGCATTCCGGGCACACGAATCAGCAGTTTCATTGCCGTGTGTGCCACTGTGACCTGGGATCCAGCTCAGCATCAGTTCTATTCCTTTCACTTTACATCTAAGTAAAGCTTCTCTAATTTTGAGAATAATTGGGAAGCGAGATTTGGACCGCATGGGATTGGAGGATATTGCCTAAAGGCAGCTAGGAGAATCGGATAGGATGATTGAACGGTTTAAATTGTGTGATTCACAATATAAAATTGCCTCCAATATTGCGATTGCTTCACCCGTAAAGACTGATGAAGGTGGTGGTATTTTAAAATTCAGGACTATCTTATACTTGGGTATCCATACTGCCGCTCCAACACTCTCAGTATCTGAAATCTTGGATGCATCCGTAAATATTTGAAGCCAATGCGGCCAGTTTTTACACATTACCTCATTGAAGGATTTATTTGAACTGGGTGACTGTTTATCAATTCCCAGATTAAGTGAGATGGGCGGGCGAAAACTAAAGACTCGAAGCTGTTTAAAAACAAAGGGTTGCAAGGAAATTTTTCAATGGAAATGGATGGGCGGTGGAACTTATAATAACTAGTAACTATACAGGGTACTTTATGAGAAGAATTAGAATTTATATTTGATGAATGGGTCAGCTTGTCTAAAGAAGGTAACAATGGGTGATTTTTATTTTGTAAAACCTTAAGGAGAAATCTGTCACTGAGGTATTGTCTACGCAGAAAAAGTGGGGGATCGCCCCCTACTATTTGAAGGGCATTGATGGGGGAGCATTTCATTGCCCCTAGTATAACTCGTAAGCACTTCGATTAGATTTTGTTAATTTTATCCAGAGCTGTTTTATTGCATGGGTCAAGGAGAAATGAGCCATAGTCAAAGTGACTACGAATTATTGCGTTATAAAGCAGTCTTTGAGTTACTGGGTGTGCGCCCCACCAGACGCCAGACAAAGCTCGCAAAACATTTACGCCCTTTTCTGCCTTACTGGCAATATTATTGAAATGCTCAGTACCCGTGAGTCTAGAGTCCAGTATCATCCCTAAGAACTTTACTGAAGGCTTAATTTCAATTGTGAAGTCCTGAAATTTGATGTTCGGAGCAGGGATGTTTCGTTTCTTTGTAAAGATTACGGTGCTACATTTTGGTGTAGAGACGGATAGTCCATGGTCAGACGTCCAATCACCGAGATATGATAGAGCAGAGTTAAGTCGTGAAGTAGCCTTTCACTCGGACTCGGACTCGGACTCGGACTCGGACTCGGACTCGGACTCGGACTCGGACTCGGACTCGGACTCGGACTCGGACTCGGACTCGGACTCGGACTCGGACTCGGACTCGGACTCGGACTCGGACTCGGACTCGGACTCGGACTCGGACTCGGACTCGGACTCGGACTCGGACTCGGACTCGGACTCGGACTCGGACTCGGACTCGGACTCGGACTCGGACTCGGACCCGGACTCGGACCCGGACTCGGACCCGGACTCGGACCCGGACCCGGACCCGGACCCGGACCCGGACCCGGACCCGGACCCGGACCCGGACCCGGACCCGGACCCGGACCCGGACCCGGACCCGGACCCGGACCCGGACCCGGACCCGGACCCGGACCCGGACCCGGACCCGGACCCGGACTCGGACTCGGACTCGGACTCGGACTCGGACTCGGACTCGGACCCGGACCCGGACTCGGACTCGGACTCGGACTCGGACTCGGACTCGGACTCGGACTCGGACTCGGACTCGGACTCGGACTCGGACTCGGACTCGGACTCGGACTCGGACTCGGACTCGGACTCGGACTCGGACTCGGACTCGGACTCGGACTCGGACTCGGACTCGGACTCGGACTCGGACTCGGACTCGGACTCGGACTCGGACTCGGACTCGGACTCGGACTCGGACTCGGACTCGGACTCGGACTCGGACTCGGACTCGGACTCGGACTCGGACTCGGACTCGGACTCGGACTCGGACTCGGACTCGGACTCGGACTCGGACTCGGACTCGGACTCGGACTCGGACTCGGACTCGGACTCGGACTCGGACTCGGACTCGGTTCGGACTCGGACTCGGACTCGGACTCGGACTCGGACTCGGACTCGGACTCGGACTCGGACTCGGACTCGGACTCGGACTCGGACTCGGACTCGGACTCGGACTCGGACTCGGACTCGGACTCGGACTCGGACTCGGACTCGGACTCGGACTCGGACTCGGACTTTTAACAAAACTATATCACATAAGCGCGTGTAAGAAAAATTACTAACCTCCAGTCATTTTTCTTACACACGCTCTTTTTTTAATTACAATTCATTTCATTTTATATCAAAAACTGAAAAAAATATTTCATAAAAATTATCTTGACGGCGGCGTTATCATTGAAAATTAGAAACGAAATAATGATATTTGTAATAGCTAAAATTGCCTATTAAAAAAAATCTAAAAATAAATTCTTAATAACTACAAAGGCGGTTAACAAATTCAAAACTTCATAAGTAGAGATGTTGATAGCATATCCATCAAAATCTCCTTCAAATTATAATGAAGTATATTAATTTCGATACAATCTTTATAATTTTAAAAAAATATTGCCGATGCATTCAATAGGTTGATTTTAGTTAAAAATAATAGAGTATTTTCGTCTCCATATATCTTTTTTCTTGAAGGGATTATTGATTAAATTACGGCAGTCAGTTACTTTGTAGCTGACAACTATAGCTATGCAACACTTTTTCAATTATTAATTTAAAATATTTTTACGTACAATTCCATCCATATCTGTTATCCTGCATAGTGTGTAATAGAAATATTTTTATTAAAAATAATAGCAAAATATATTCATAAATACCTAAACAAAATCCAAGAGCAAATTATCATATATACATCATTACAGTCAACAGAATAATTGAACATGTCAAGGAATTATTTTAGTAAACATAAGTATGTCAGATGCAATTATGTAAAATTATTTATAAAACTTTGTATCGACTATCATGCTTATAAATTAATTACTGATAAACAGAGATGTGACTTATTTTAGATACAAGTATTTGAAATACAGATACAAGATACAAAATACGTATTTTCATCTTGTATCTAAAATACTTTTTTTAGGAAGTATTTTGTATCTTGTATTTAAATACTTTTGTTTAGTATCTTAGTATCTTTTAAATACTTTTTCTGATAAAATACTTTATAAAAAGATTATTTCTTACATTTTATAAATATCACAAAACATTCTTTGCCTAAAACATACATATTTACAAAAAGAAAGTGTTCAATTATCAACTAGACGTGTGCGCCGCGCCGCGCCGATGACCGACGCCGCCGATCATGACACGCCGCCGCTGACCGGTTCAAAAGATCGGCGTAAACGGCGCGGGATGGCACGAACTGCGAGTAACATTCGGTCGCTCGGTTGCTAAGCAACATAGTGCATTTTTCCGTTGCGTATTTCCATATTTAGTAAAATTTTAATGAATACCAAAGTAAAGTCAATAATCAGATGCAAACAAATAAACAATCGAATCTTTTTTCTTTAATTACAGAAATAAAATGAACAGCTGAACAATAAAATCTTGTACAATTAATGTAGCACTCGTTTACAAGATGGAGTTGGCAGAAATCATAAATTAAATACTTAACCTTATTTGTCTACTCTAGCTACCCCGCTACAAGCACACCTAGCGAACGTGTATTCTCTGTAGCTGGCCTTATTAAAACGGTTTAACGATTGTGTCTTACTGGGAATAATTTCTATACATGATAACTATTAGGTTGGGGAAAAATCTTTCTGGATATACCATTTCTATGTGGCTGGTTGGGGTATCATTAAAATGATCACCTGATGGTAAACAATGATCACCTGATGGTAAACAATGCAGTGGTCTAAGATGGAGCGTTCTT